ACACAGGGCTTGAACCCATGAACTGTGAGATAACTGATCTGAGGTGAAGTCAGATGCTTAACCGACTGAGCCACCCAGGTGCCCCTAATTTTTTAAATTTTAATTTTAATTAACATACAGTGCAAAATTTAGGAGTTTTAGGAGTAGAATTCAGTGATTCATCACTTACATACAACACCCAGTGCTCATCCCAACAAGTGCCCTCCTTAGTACTCACCCCATCCGGCCCATCCCCCACCCACCTCCCTCCATCAACCCAGTTTGTTCTTTTTCATTAAGACTGTCTTGTGGTTTGTTTCCCTCTCCTCTTCTTCCCTTTCCTATATGTTCATCTGTTTTGTTTCTTAAATTCTACATACAAATGAAATCATCTGGCATTTGTCTTTCTCTAATTGACTTATTTCACTTAGCATAACACATTCTAGTTCCATCCACATTGTTGCAGATGGCAAGATTTCATTCTTTATGGTTAATATTCCATGTATACCACAGTCTTTATCCATTTATCAGTGGATGGACATTTGGGCTTTCTCCATAGTTTGGCTATTGTTGGTAGTGCTGCTATAAACACCAGGATGCATGTGCCCCTTCAAATCTGCATTTTTGTATCCTTCTGGTAAATACCTAATGGCACAATTGTGAATTGTAGGGTAGTTCTATTTTTAGTTTTTTAAGGAACCTCCATGCAGTTCTCCAGAGCAGCTGCACCAGTTTGCATTCCCACAACAGTATAAGATCCTCACCTCTCCACATTCTCACCAATGCCTGTTGTTTCTTGTATTGTTAATGTTAGCCATTCTGACAAGTGTGAGGTGTTTGTTAACCATCTGGATGCCTTCTTTGGAAAAATGTTCCTGTCTTCTGCCCATTTCTTAACCAGGCTATTTGTTTTTTGGATGTTGAGTTTGATAAGTTCTTTATAGATTTTGGATACTAACTGTTTATCAGATAATGTCATTTGCAAATACCCTCTCCCATTCCATAGGTTGCCTTTTAGTTTTGTTGATTGTTTCCTTCTCTGTGGAGAAGGTTTTTATCTTGACAAAGTCCCAGTAGTTCATTTTTGCTTGTTTCCCTTGCCTCTGGCGATGTGTCTAGTAAGAAGTTGCTCTGGCCAAGGTCAAAGAGGTTGCTACCTGTGTTCTCGTCACATTTAGGTCTTTGATTCATTTTGAATTTATTTTTGTGTATAGTGTGTATTTATTATTTTGTGTATAAGAGAGTGGTTCAGTGTCATTCTTCTGCATGTTGCTGTCCAGTGTTCCCAACACCATTTGTCAAAGAGACTGCCTTTTTTCAATTGGATATTCTTTCCTGCTTTGTCGAAGACTAGTTGACCTATTGTACATACACACTTTATAATAGTATTTCCTATTTCTCTTTTTAAAAATTTGCCTTTGGAATTTTGATAGGAAGTGCATTAAATCTGTAGATCGCTTTGGATAGTATTGATATCTTAACAGTTTTCAGTCTTGCCATGAACTTGGTTGTTTTTATTTGTATTTGTATCTTCTTTAATTTCTTTCAGCAGTGTTTTATAGTTTTCACTGTACAAGTCTTTGACCTCTTTAAATTTATTTCTTAGCACTTTATTCTTTTAAATTCTATTGTAAATTATTCTTTTTAATTTTATTTTCTGATTTTCCATTGTTCAAGTTTAAAAAGGACAGATTTTTTTGTTACTGATTATTGTATCCTACAACTTGTCTGAATTTGTTTATTCTAACAGATTGTGTGTGTGTGTGTAGAATCTTAAGGGTTTTCTGTATTTAAGATCATGCCATCTGAACAATGATAATTTTGCTTCTTCCTTTTGAAATTAGCTGTTTTTTATTTCTTTTTCTTGCCTAACCGCTCTGGCTAGGACTTCTAATACTGTGTTGAATAAATGTTGCATGAGCAGCCACCTTTGTTTTATTTCTGACCTTAGTGGGAAAAGTTTCAGTCATTCCATGTCCAGTATAATCTTAGCTGTGGATTTTTCATAGATAGTTTTTATTGTTTAGAGATTCTTCCTTAGATTTTTTTTCTTGAGGGGGTATTGAATTTTGTCAGATGCTTTTTCTGCATCAAGTTAGATGATTGCTTCTTTTGATTTTAATATGTTAACATTGTGTATTACATTGGTTAATTTTCATATATTGAAGTATCCTCATTATGGGAATCAATTTCACTTGGTCACAGTGTATGATCCTTTTAATATGCCTTTGGATTCTGTTGGCCAGTATTTTGTTGAGTAGTTTTAACTTTAGTTTTCCTAAGTGATATGGTATGTGGTTTGTCTTGTACCATCTTTTCCTATGTTTTGTATCACAGTAATGCTGGCCTCAGAGAAGAACTTAAAAATCTTTCCCTGTTCACTTTTTTAAAAGGAAAAGATTGAGAAGAATTGGTGTCTTCAAATGCTAGAATTGTTAGAATTTACTAATGAATTCATCTGGTCCTGGGATTTTCTTTATTGGATGATTTTTGATTACTGATTTCATGCACTTATTGGTATTAGGCCAATTAAGATTTTCTTTTTCTTTGTTTTTTAGTCTTGGTAGGTCATTTCTAAGAATTTATTAATTTAACTAGGTAATCCAGTTTGTTAGCATATGATTGTTCATTGTACTTTCTTATAATCCTTTTTATTTTTGTAAAATTGGCAGTAGTTTTCCTCTTATTTCTGATTTTAGTTATTTGAGTGTATTCTCTTTTATTCTAACCAAAGAAAGGTAAATTTTCTGGATCTTTGTGAAGAGCAAACTTTTGGTTTTGTTGTTTTTTTCCTATTGTTTTTCTCTGTTTTGTTTATATCTTGACTATAATTGTTATTTTCTTCCTCCTAGGTTTGGAATATTTGTTTCTTTTTCTTACTAAAGTTTAGGTTCTTCATCTGAGATCTTTTTTTAATGTGTTTACAACTATAGATTTCTCTCAGCACTGTGATGTTTCTGCCCTGAAGTCTCTTGATAATCTTACTGAGGATCCCTGCATTTGATGAGTAACTTTTCTTTTTCATTCAAGATTCACTCTGTGCTTTGGCATTCAACAATTTGATTAGAATCTGGTTCAGTGTGAATTAAAGTATATTTTTTATATATAACATCATTGTCTGTATAGAAAACTCTAAAGCTGCAAAAAAACTCAGCATTAATACACAGATTTGGCAGAGTTATAGCATCTAATTTCAGTATCCAAACATCACTTTTCTATATACCAAATTCAGAGGACAACTGGAATTTAAAATTTAAGAAAATGGATATTTGAGTAGCTTGAGTGTCTGCCTTCAGCTTAGATCATGATGTCATGGTTCATGGGTTGAGCTCCATGTCAGGGCTCTCTCTCACTCTGTCTTCCCCTGCTCACACACTCCCTCTCTCTCAAAATAAAAAACTAAAAAAGGTGACACAGTCCAGGAAACTTTCAGGCTCAAATAAAACCTGAAAGCTCATAAGCTGCAGGGCTGGAATCTGCGACAGAGTCACCTACAACCTCCAGAGGTAGCAGGGAAGCAGTGAGCACAGGGGCTCAAGGGGAAGTACACCTGCTTGCTTACTGCCCTTTGTGGCTGTTGGGGGGTCTCCTTCAGTTTAGTGTTCAGACACCAGAACTTTTATTTTTTTATTTTTTTACAAATAGTTTATTGTCAAATTAGTTTCCACATAACACTCAGTGCTCATCCCCAAAGTGCCCTCCTCCATGCCCATCCCCCCTCCCCCCCACATCCATCAGTCCTCAGTTTTTGTCAGCATTCAAGAGTCTCTCATGGTTTGCCTCTCTCCCTTTCCCCCACCATTTCCGCCCTTCTTCTCCCCCTTGTTCCTCCGTCAAGTTCCTCCTAATCCTCCTATACGTGCAAACATATGATATTTGTCCTTCTCTGCCTGACTTATTTCGCTCAGCATAACACCCTCAAGGTCCATCCATGTTGCTACACATGGCCAGATTTCATTGTTTCTCATTGCCATGTAGTATTCCATGGTATAGATAAACCACATCTTCTTGATCCATTCATCTGTTGATGGACACTTAGGCTCTTTCCATGTTTTAGCTATTGTGGAGAGTGCTGCTATGAACATTGGGGTACATGTGCTCCTATGCCTCAGCATTTCTGTATCCCTTGGGTAAATTCCTAGCAGTGCTATTGCTGGGTCATAAGGGAGTTCTATTGTTAGTTTCCTGAGGAACCTCCACACTGTTTTCCAGAGGGGCTGTACCAGTTTACATTCCCACCAACAGTGTAGGAGGGTGCCCGTTTCTCCACATCCTCGCCAGCATCTAGAGTTCTCTGATTTGCTCATTTTAGCCACTCTGACTGGCGTGAGGTGGTATCTCAGTGTGGTTTTGATTTGTATTTCCCTGATGAGGAGGGATGCTGAGCATCGTTTCATGTGTCTGTTGGCCATCTGGATGTCCTCTTTGGAGAAGCAGACACCAGAACTTTTAAAAGATAAACTGAGGCATATTAAGATTTTTAAGAGTTTATTTGAGGACAGACCTGTTCGAAATAAGCAGCATCCATCTAGCAGATAGAAGTTCTAAGGAAGTATGCAAAGTTAGCCAGAAGAGAGCAGGATGAAGGAAGTAATACAAGGGCAAAAAGGTAGGTTCTTTTCCTTTCAGGGAAGACAGGAGTCTGTTGGGCAGATTACCTGACTAGTGCTGACCAGGTGATACTGAATAGCTGCTTTAAGATTCCATTTCAGGGATACCCAAAACTGTAATTAAGTTGTCTCATTTTGGTGACATGGGGCTCAGCATAAGCAACTCCATTTTGGACCTATCGTCTTGTTTTTAATGTGCCTGATGGGGTGAGAGTGACATCACCAAGGCCTCAGATGAGGGGTCCCAGCTACAACTCGCAGGACGAGCGGCAGCGTGCTGCATATGGCAGAGGAGGAGGGGGCTCTCGTTACATACAGTGGGCTGCGAGGTCGGCCACGCTGCCCTTCCACTCTCATCCAGTGCAGCCTTCCTTCCTTTAATGTCACTGGAAACATTTGTTGCTCCCACAGTTCCCAGGGCCAGCGAACAAGAGTAACCGACAGTGTCTGTATCCAGCCTAGGCTTCCCTCTCTCTGCCTGATCTCTGCTCCCCCGGACGCTGTGCAGGTGTCCTGTGCCCCAGCCCGTGGCCTCCACCAGCTGACCTCCTGCAGACCTGGAGCGGATGGTGTTCTGTGGACAGAAAATTTACTGAGTCCCTGAGCAGTGATCTCATTTTCTCTGTGTGTGCTTCTTAATTGTAAATAGTTTGAGATTTGGTTTATTTATATATCCATTTATTTGTAACTTTTCCTAAACTGTGCCCTTAGAGAATTTGGTAACATGTATTTACATTTGTAATTATTTCCTTAATAGGTATTTAATGGACTAACAACTGCCCCATTTTAAACATACCCAATCTGGTCATTAGAGATTCAGATAATATCTTTTTCAACCTAAAGTACCCATACATCTGTATAATAAACTCACTTATTAATCTGAGCTAGAATGAGTTAAATGAAAGTTGCATTGAAGTAAAAGAATTGTGTAATGATCCAAGCAGCTAGGATCACATCAGGATGGGGCACATATGTGCCCACAGGGTACAAGCATCATCTGAGGAATGGTGATGTGAGAGGCATAGACACCCAGGCCTGGACAGATACTGATTTATGAAGCAAAAACAACAGAGCAGTGGCTGGGGTACTTTCTACCTTTTCTTGGTCAGTTATGCTGGTTTGTAAACCCGCCCGATCATCCTCTGTGCAACTGACAGCAAATTTGTGCATTCATTCATTCATGCATTGATTCTAAAATGTTTCTTGAGTGCCTACTGTACACAAGGACTATTCCAGGCACTGGGTACACATCAGTGAATAAAAAAACCTGTGCTGTTCACAACTTACCAGAGTGTCAGCCTCCACAGGAATAGGTGCTGGTGTAGGGAAACCTATACTGTAATTCACTAACTGCTGGAAGGTCAGTGTGCACAAGTCTGAGAGTTAGAGGCTCCAGAGGGACACACTTTGGGTGAATATAGCACTGCCCACTTCTATAAGGTGCTCGTAGTGAATATTGGAGAAAAATCCCCTCATGCTTCTGGCAAAAGGGACCATATTGAAGGAAGGGCAAAAGAAACCATATTTAAATACAGCACAGCATTCCATTCTTAAAAAGTTCTGTCCTAAGGAGAAAGTACTTAACCAAATTTAAAACCCCCTGGAGGTTTTTCAGAGCCTAACTGACATGGGGGAAGGGAAATAACCCAAATTCAACGGATTCTAACCTTCTTTGGGAAGAAAAGGAAACACTTCCAGTCCCCCCTAGCCTTCCATGTGGTTGAAAAGAAATAACCAGTTACGGCCCATTCTAGCTGTCCTGTTCCATTAAGTAGAGGGGGAGCAGAAGCACATATTTAGTTCCCAGTCCAGAGGCACAAGCTCACAAAATGACTTTGAGACCTAGCCATAGGACTATAGAACACCTCCTTCCTCCATGCCTTGCCACCAAATTACTAAAGGCCCATTGACAGCAGTTTATTTTAGGCAATTCATCACTTACAGACTCCAGAAAAATGTACAAGGCCCACTTTTTTAAAACTTTGAAGACCTAAAACAAGAATCATATATGGCTGGGTTGTTACAATTATCAGACTAGTAATATAAAATAATGATAAATATGCTAAGTGTGCTAATAGAAAAAGTAGACACCATGAAAGAACAAATGGGCAATATAATACATTTTAAGAAAGAATTAAACAAATGCTAGATACCAAAAACACTAACAGAAATGAAGATTGCCCTCAATGGGCCTTCTAGTAACTAGACATGATTGAGGAAAGAATCTCTGAATTCAGGATTTATTCATAAAAACCTCCAAAGCTGAAAAGCAAAGAGAAAAAAAGACTGGCAGAATATCTAAGAATGTGGGACAATTATGAAAGGGGTAACATACACCTAACAGAAATATCAGAAGGAGAAGAAAACTACCTGAAGCAATTTTTGAAATAAAAATGGCTGAAAATTACCCTGTATTCCTACCAAACCATTGATCCAGGAAACTCAGAGAACAATCAAGATAAATGCTAAAACTATACGTAAGGCATATAATTTACAAACCATAGAAAACCAAAACCGAAGAAAAAGTCCTGAAAGAACTTTTTTTGAACCCCTATACCTATAGTGAGGCAAAGATAAAAACTACATCTGACTCCTAAGAAACCATGCCAGCAAAAAGAGAGACGAGTGAAATATTTAGTCTTGATAGAACAAGAACAAAACAAAAAAAGATTAAAAAAAAAAAAACCCTCACCAACCTAGAATTATATACCCTGTGAAAATATCCTTCAAAAGTGAAGGAGAAATACTTTCTCGGACAAAAATATACACAGATACACTTTATATAGAAATTAAGAGTATTATAATGGGTTTTTAGTACCCGTGAAACAGTGTTACTTAAAAGTAGACTCTGATTAGTTTTAAATGTATTACAAAGTTATACTAAGAAATGTAAAAATAAGTAAATAAATGTTATGCTAAGGAGAGAAACTGGAATGATGTAAAATAGTTGAAACCATGAGAGGCAGAAAAGAGTAGAAGACAAAAATAGGAACAAAGGCAACAAACAAAATTGTAACAAATATAGGTATCAGTCCAGCTATATCAATACTGATGGTGAACATCAGTGGCCTAAATGCACTAATCAAAAGCATTGTCAGAATGGGGAAAAAAAAAAACATGACCCAACTACATGCTGTTTATAAGAAACCTACCTTTAAATAAAGATGTAGATTAAAAGTAAAAGATGGAGAAAAATATGCTAACAGCAAAAGGAAACAGGAGTAGCTATATTTCAGACAGGACAAACTTATTTATTTTCAAGTTACTTAACATACAGTGTAGTCTTGGCTTCAGGAGTAGAAACCAGTGATTCTCATCACTTACATACAACACCCCATGCTCATCCCAGCAGCTGCCCTCCTTAATACCCATCCTCCATTTGACGCACCCCTCCCTTGAGCACCCCTCAGTTTGTTCTCTGTATTTAAGAGTCTCCTATGGTTTGCCTCCCTCAGTGTTTTTATCTTATTTTTCTTTCCATTCCCCCATGTTCATCTGTTGAGCTTCTCAAATTCCACATATGAGTGAAATCATGACATCTGTCTCTCTGACTTCACTTAGCATAATACTCTCCAGGTCCATCCACATTGTTGCAAATGGCGAGATTTCATTCATCGCTGAGTAGTATTCCATTGTATACATATACCACATCATCTTTTTTTTAAATTGTTTTTTGTTTTTTATTATTGAGACAGAAACAGAGCATGAGTGGGGGAGGGGTAGAGAGCGAGGGAGACACAGAATCCGAAACATGCTCCAGGCTCTGAGCTGTGAGCACAGAGCCGGATGCGGGGCTTGAACCCACTTCCCGCGAGATCATGACCTGAGCTGATGTTGGATGCTTAACCGACTGAGCCACTCAGGCGCCCCTACCACATCATCTTAATCCATTTGTCAGTTGATGGATATTTGGGCTCTTTCCATAATTTGGCTTTTGTGGATAGCACTGCTATAAACATTGGGGTGCATGTGTCCCTTTGAATCCCCATTTTTGTATCCTTCGGATAAATTCCTAGTAGTGCAATTTCTGGGACATAGGGTAGTTCTATTTTCAACTTTTTGAGAAACCTTATAGTGTTTTCCAGAGTGGCTGCACCAGTTTGCATTCCCACCAACAGTGCAAAAGGGTTCCCCTTTCTCCATATCTTCCCCAATATCTGTTGCTTCCTGAGTTGTTAATTTTAGCCATTCTGACGGGTGTGAGCTGGTATTTCATTGTGGTTTGGATTTGTATTTCTGACGATGAGTGATGTTGAGCATCTTTTCACGTGTCCATTTGTCATCTGGATGTCTTTGGACAAAGTGTCTATTCATGCCTTCTGCCCATTTCTTTACTGGACTATTAGTTGTTTGGATGTTTGGTAAATATTTTATAGATTTTTGGATACTAATCCTTTATCTGATACGTCATTTGCAAATATCTTCTCCCATTCCATCAGTTGCCTTTTAGTTTTGCTGATTGTTTCCTTTACTGTGCAGAAGCTTTTTATCTTGATGAGATCCCAATAGTTCATTTTGCTTTTATTTCGCTTGCCTTTGGAGACATGGTAAGTAAGAAGTCACTGAGGCCTAGGTCACAGGGGCTGCTGCCTGTTTTCTCCTGTAGTATGTTGATGGTTGTTGCGGGCGAAATGACACAAAGACGAGACACACAAAAGACAGACAAAGACACAACTCTGGCCGGAGGGAAAAAATTCTCCGCAAGTCCCCTTGCGGTTTATTTTTATACCCCGGTAGCTGGACACATACCGGAATCTAAGAAATGCATTCTTTTACCAAATAAGGACAAAAAGCCAAGCACATTCCAAGGACGCGGGGGGGGNGGGCAGGGAGGGGGGGGGGGGGGGGGGGGGGGGGGGCGGGGAGCAAAGGGAGGAAGTGACCACAGCATGTTTACTAAGAGGCCTGCCCGAGGCCTGCCCGAAACTCCAGCCTCTTCCTTATTTTTAAGGAGGGCATGTTCCCTCGTATGCGTGCGGATCATTAACCTTGGATATTGTTTACAGGCCTCTTGGCAGAACATCCTGTTTGCAAGCATGATCTACCCAAGCAGAGAGTCTTGTTTGCAGGCACATCTCTGTTTCCTTAACCATTCTTTCTCGTGGTCACTGTCGGGCTCCCACATCTCCCCCTTTTTTGTGAGAAGCAGTAGCAAGCTGTAAGGTGGCGAGAACGCGTTGTCTATCCTTTTTTAGTTGTTGCCCTCTTCGCCAGCACCGGAAGACTAGAATAATAACACAGCATAAGAGTATTATGAACAAGGTATTCCCGAAAGTAGTTCCAATTAGGGTAGATACATGCCCAAGAGGATTCAAATTATTCATCCCTTCCTGTAAATCCCTTAACAGATCGGACCCAGTAATGTCAGGTAGCGTTTTGCTAAATGTAGACCAAATTTGTTGCTCTAATTCCATAATTTCCTTAGTTAGGTTCTGATGCCCTGTTAATGACCGTTTCAGCTTTTCCCAACCCTCACTCATGTTGAAAGGCACAGGTGTTATAATTGAGAGGAGTTCCAATCACATTTCAACACCCTTTTTGTGGATAAGGCAGTTAATTGATCCCCAAGCCAAGAAACACTATGTTGAAGATTGAGTACATCAGTTGCAAGTTGTGCATCCAAATCTCGTTGTTGCCATAATAAATGAGAGTCTTTATGCCACTCCCGTACAAAGTCTGCTGTTTGGATTCCTTGATGCAAAGCAAGTCCAGCCATGGCAGTGGTTGCAGTAACTGAAGCCACTGCAAGAACTGAAGCTATGATTACTCCAAGCATGCGTCGGGACCGGTGAAGCAAGGTCTGTACAGCAGTCACCAAATGAGATACAGCAAAATAGTCCGACCAAGGTCTTGTCAGATTTACAGGTAGCCATACTTCGGTTCGAGTTTTAACAACCACCAGTGAAAAATTAGAGTTGTTGGTTTGTGTTTCAAAATTTTTCCACCATGACTGATTTACACATTGTGTTAAATTACAATGATTACATGATATAGATCCCTCTGTAGCATTCCAAGTCCAGTTCCCATACAACAATGCAAACGGGTATTTTAGACAAGCCGTAGCAGAATAAGATTTATTAACATGCAAGTTAACATGAAAGGGACCTGAACTGTCAGTCATATTGAAAGTATAGTTTCCCGACCATATAGTGAGATTCCCTGAAACTGCCCATAATTTCCAAATATTCCCTTGAAAGTGGGGATACCCTAACAATTGCAACTGAGGGGGAATGAGTGCAAACTGCTGCCATTTTACAGTTTCATTACTGTTACCCATTAAAGTACCATTAATTTGATGCCATTTGAGAGTTTTGTTAGACCATTTTTCCAAAATTTGGCCATGATCAGGGCTCCAATCTACAATAACAAATCCAGAATAGTTCATGACCTTAAAAGGCCGATGACCTCGGCAACTTTCCCATTCCAAAGATTCTATAGAAGGAATAAAAAAATTAGAAGGGCATAATGGTATAAAGATATCAGGATGGTGACTCATCGGTGTCGTAGAGGTGTTGAATCCCCTGGTGGAAACAAGCACAGTAAAGACAGCAGGATGATAATTATTATATTTTGCCCCCCAGGTATTATAAGAGTGATGATTATGCTCTCTTGTAGAGAGACAAAAGGGATGTCTTCCGATGCACAAGGGGAGGCCCTCCATTGCAACAGTAACATTACTTATGTTATATTGATTATTATGATGATACAAATGCTCAATTCCTTCACACGTGGGTGGTGGGAAGAATGCGGTTTCCTTGGTGCATACCTGTACTTCAGGTTCACCCCAAGAGACAGCTCTCACAAGAGGAGGATTAGGAACATAAGCCCAATAAGTATATTCTATCGCTTGCGCATACATTACCTGACAGGTAACCACAGCCATCATAGCCAACAGCAAATCAGTAGGATTACGAGGTTGACCAGCATTAACGAGCGTTTTCTCAGCCTCCTGTGTAAGCTTCTTCAGTTGCCCCCATGTTGGAGGCGACGCAGATCGGGTAGGGAAGGTAAGGCTCCACCGTGCAGAAAGCTCTTCAAATTTTCGCACAAAGCGATCATCCATTATGAATCTTGATCAATTGAGTTGGTGCCCAAAACCTAAAATTATCAATAGATATGAAAGCATAACCTCGCCCCAAATATATCAGTGATGCTGGAACCCAACCTTTATCTTTATACCAAATGAGTGTATTCAAGTTCTTCTTATCCTCTTCTTTCCTCCGAAAATGCAATTCTGCTGCTGATAGATTTTCTTTGCTCCAAATATTCAGAAAATTTAAAGTAAGTAAGGTTTTATTCAAGATGTCTTTTGGTTTCATAAATCTCTCCTGTTCCCCCTTTATTTTTTCAATATACTCACGTAAAGTATGATTAGCTCTTTCAATGATAGCTTGTCCTTGACTATTATAAGGGATGCCAAAAGTATGAATTATATGATATTGGGATAAAAAATGAGCTAATTTTGCAGATTGGTAGGCAGGTGCGTTACCAGTGTTCAATTCAGTTGGTACCCCCATAACTGCAAAACAAGATAATAAATGAGTAATAACAGCGTCAGATTTTTCAGAATGTAATGCAGTAGCCCATTGGAAATGTGTGCATGTATCCATAGTATGATGGATGCATTTTTGTTGTCCAAAAGATGAAATAAAAATTACATCCATTTGCCATTTCTGATTTGCTTGTAATCCTCTTATGTTGACACCTGGTGGGGTAAATGGTAAGGTAAAAGGCACACAAATGGAACAAGAGCGAACAGTAAGATTTTTTTAATCCTTTAGAGTTAGTATGTTGCAGACGATGCTCTTGTTTTGCTGCTTCTATAGGATAAAGTAATGCATCAATTGTAGCATTTCCGAATGACAAGGGTCCAGGAAGGGCGGAATGTGCACAGATATGAGTAAAGAAAATTGATTCTGAACGCCACAGAAGCGATTGTTGTACCTGATAAAACAATTTATCAATATCTGTCTTAAGAGTTATAGGCAGTGAAACCTGAGGAAGCTGTAGACAAGAGAGAACAGCATATCGAGAATCTGAAACAATGTTAACAGGAAGTTGAGGAAAATCTTGCAAAACTAAATAAATAGCCCACAACTCAGCAGGCTGTACAGAGGAGAACGAATGGGGAAGGACTTTAGAACGTTCAAAAGTCCAGTATCCAGCGGTGTTTTTATTTGCATCAGTAAAAACAGTGGGTCCTTTAACTGGAACATCTGAAATCGGAGATTGAGGTATCATGGGGTTAGTTCGAAGAAAATCAATCAATTTAGATGACGGATAATGATTAGAAAATGAACGAGGAAATGAATCAAGGGAAATCTGCCAATTTTCATTAAATTGTAAACATGAAGATATCTGAGCATTCGTTAATTGAGTAACAATCTGGTGTGGTTCTTTCCCTGATAATTGTAGAATACGATTGCGACCCTTCTGTATAAGAAATGCTAATTTATCCATATATGTAGTTAATTTTTTGGAGAAACTGTTAGGTAAAAAAACCCATTCTATTAATCCTTTTTCTTGAGCAGTCGCACCAGATGGAGAATGAGGGGTATGAAATATTATGAATGAAATAGGTTGAGATGCAGAAATATATGTTAAAAAACCATCATTTAATATTTGTTCAACAAATTGAAGCTCTTGCAAAGCCAAGGGGGTTAAGATTCGGGGACTATCTAAAGCTGTGTCTCCTTCTAAAGTAGAAAAAAATAAGTGTCGTAATTGATAAGTAGGAATCCCAAGTACCGGGCGTAGCCAATTAATATCTCCTAATAATTTCTGGAAGTCATTTAAAGTTTTTAAATGGTCTCTTCTAATTTGTAATTTTTGAGGCCGGATTTGGTGTTGTTCTAATATTGTCCCTAAATAAGAAATGGGAAAATCCTTCTGAACTTTCTCTGGTGCTATATGCAAGTTATATTGTTTCAAAGCTTCCTGTACCTTTAAGAAGAATTTATCATGTTCAGCAATACTGGGAGCTGCCAATAAAAGATCATCCATATAATGATAGAGAATATAATTAGGATACTCTTGACGGATAGACTGTAAAGAACGAGCTACAAACTCTTGACACAAGGTAGGACTATTCCCTGTGGCAAGACTGTCCATTGGTAGCGCTTCACAGGCTGAGCGTGATTAAGAACAGGAACCGTGAAAGCAAATTTATCTCTGTCTTGTAATTGTAAAGGAATAGTAAAAAAGCAATCTTAAAGCTCTAGTGCCATTAAAGACCAATTTTGAGGAATAAGAGCGGGAGAAGGAAGGCCTAGCTGTAAGGCTCCCATAGGTTCAACACATTTATTAACTTCTCTTAAATCCGTCAACATTCTCCATTTTCCAGATTTCTTTTTTATAACAAACACAGGATAATTCCAAGGGGAAGTAGAGGGCTCTATATGGCCAAGTTGAAGTTGCTCTGATACTAATTGCTCTAAGGCCTTGAGCTTCATTTTTGGTAATGGCCACTGCTCAACCCATTCAGGAGTATTAATTATCCATTTTACTGGGAGTGCTCGAGGACCTTGAGCAGAGGCCACTAGTTTCCCGACGGAATGGTTACAGAAGCCCCCATGGGAGAGAGAAGATCTCTTCCCCATATATTAATAGGTATACTAACAATATAAAAAGTGACAAAAACTGTTTTTCCATTATGGAACTGGCATTGTAAAGGACGAGTACTTTTCCAAACATCTGCAATGGAGCCTAATCCTGTCAGCGTTAGAGGACTTTTTTCTTTGTTCCAGTCCTGGGGCCATTGTTGAGAGGAAATGACTGAAACATCTGCCCCTGTGTCTATTAACCCTTCAAAGTTCCTTCCTTGTATGGTCAAGGAAAGAACAGGGCGAGAATCCGTGATAAGCATCTCCCAAAATATATGTTGCCCAGTACTTCCAAAACCTCCTGACCTTTCATTAGGAAGAGCAGAAAAGGGAAGATGAGATAAAAGAAGTATTTGTGCTATACGTTCTCCAGCCAATAGTGAAAACGATAGAAGTAGAAACCATGATTAAAATTTCTCCAACAAAATCAGAGTCTATTACTCCAAGAATTATGGTTAGACCTCTTAAAGCCGCGCTGCTGTGGCCCAGTATTAAGCCAAAGGTGCCTTTAGGCAATGGGCCAAATATGTTTGTTCTTAATTTATAAATGCCACCTCCCGGAGACAAAACATTTTCAGCGAGAGACAAATCAGCAGCAGCACTTCCTGAAGTTGCAGAGCGTAAATCTGACACCATTAAAGGTTTGGTTATTCCTGATGTAGTAGTCATCTCTAAGGGTTCTTGGGAAACAAAGGGGTTACTGGAGGAGTGGGAGGCGTGGCCAGTTGAGTCCCCGGCATTGTTCTTGGGCCCTGGGGACTGAGGCCCGCTAAGTAGTTTCCCGAATGTGGGTTACCAATGGGATTGCCGTATTTATCAGTTTTAGAACGACATTCATTGGTCCAGTGAAGCCCCTTGCCGCATTGGCGGCAAAGCCCAGGGGGCTTATTTTGTTTTGTATATCCTTGTTTTGCCCTCAATTTTCTGCAATCCTTTTTCATATGTCCAGGTTTCCCACAATGGTAACAATTTCCGCCCTTAGAGGGCTTCATAGCTTGAGCCAAGGCAGTAGCAAAAACAGTAGCATTATGTTCAGTTCCTCCCACTCCCGAACAAGCTCTACTATATTCAGCTACAGAAGCTCCTTGCCCTCTTAAAGGACCCAAAACACGTTTACATTACGGGTTTGCATTTTCGAAAGCAAGTGTCTGCAAAAGTATCTCCAAGATTTCATCACGTCCAACAGCCCACTCAACAGACACCTGCAATCTAGCAAGAAAATCAGTATATGGTTCATTGGGTCCTTGTAAAGTTTTTGTGAAAGAAGGCTGAGCGTGGCCAGTAGGTACAACATGACGCCAAGCCCTAAGAAATACTTGGCGCACCTGTTGTAAATCCTGGTCAGAATATTGAGCCTGATCTCTTAAGGCTCGAAATTGTCCCTCTCCCATCAGTTTATCCTCTAGAGGACCAGGAGGGTTCTGTCCCTCATTAATTTGAGCCTGCTTTCGGGCTGCTTCTTCCCACCAACTCCTTAATTGCAACCATTGGGATCCTTCAAGCACAGCCTGGGCTATGGCCTCCCAATCCAGGGGAAGAACCAATTTTGTTTTCCCTACAGAATCTAACATAGCTAATACAAAAGGGGATTGGGGACCATATTGAGCGACAACAGCTTTAAGGTCCTTGAAAAACTTATATTCAAAAGGCGAATATTGAACATTAATCATATTGTTGGGAGCTGCTTTCTGTTGAATTGTAAATAATTGTGGAGGATCTATGAAACCACCAGAGGGCACAGGGATATCATCATCATAGAACATGGACATGGGAAATGAGAAGGAACGCCCCTCTCGGCCTATATCTGGAGCCCCATGAGATACCGGAAAAAGAGAAGCATAGGGAGGGGCCGTGGGAGTAGGATCCTTCTTTGTTCCTTCATTTTGTGTTTTCCACCATTGTTGAAAAAGTCGGGTCACTTTATCCATCCCGTCGTTCCCGTCAGACGACGAGGAGGACTCAGGAGAACTATCAGATTCGGCATCTGATTCCCCATCCCTGGAATACAAAGCAGCGGCCGCGGAAGCGTCATTTAAAGCGGCAGCATCTGATTCCTTTTGTTTCTCGTTAGGGACTTCCTCATAAACCACCTCAGGTTTTGTAGATTTAGTTTCACTATCTGTAGAAAGCAATGCAACTGCTTGAGTGATAGCACTACATAGAGTCCACAATTTCAAAGGAATTGTGTTACTCTTCTGATGCTGTTGCTGTAATTCCTTCTGTATTAATTTCCATTCCTTTAAGTTTAATTGTACTTTAGGTTGGCACTTAAACCAATAACAATGCTGCTCCACAAGGCGAAATAATTCTGATAAACGGCGACTAGATGCCTTCACCCGGATGGAGTGGAGAAGTCCTTTGACTAGCTCCATGTATTGTGCCTTTGCTGATGGGGAATTCCCCATAATTTTCCCGAAAGTTCCCCTGCCTTGGACCTACAGTCCCCGAGGGGTACTCACCCTTTCTGTTTCGCTCATGCCCCACTTTGGGCGCCAGATGTTGCGGGCAAAATGACACAAAGACAAGACACACAAAAGACAAAGACACAACTCCGGCCGGAGGGAAAAAATTCTCCGCAAGTCCCCTTGCGGTTTATTTTTATACCCTGTTAGCTGGACACATACCGGAATCTAAGAAATGCACCAAAAAGGACAAAAAGCCAAGCACATTCCAAGGACGGGGGGGCGGGGGGGAGCAAAAGGAGGAAGTGACCACAGCATGTTTACTAAGAAGCCTGCCTGGGACTCCAGCCTCTTCCTTATTTTTAAGGAGGGCATGTTCCCTCGTATGTGAGTGGATCATTAACCTTGGATATTGTGTGCAGGCCTCCTGGCAGAGCATCCTGTTTGCAGGCATGCTTTGCCCAGGCAGGGAGCCCCGCGTGCAGGCACATCCCCGCGTCCCTAACCACGCTTTCTTGTGGTCACTGTCGGGCTCCTACAATGGGTTCCTGTCTCACATTTAAGTCTTTCATCCATTTTGAATTTACTTCGTGTATGGTGTAAGAAAGTGGTCCATTTTCATTCTCTTGCATGTTGCTGTCCAGTTCTCCCAGCACCATTTGCTAAACAGGCTGTCTTTTTTCTATTGGCTACTCTTTCCTGCTTTGTTGAAGATTGGTTGGCCATATATTTCTGGGTCCATTTCTGGGTTCTCTATTTCATTGATCTCTGTGTGTGTGTGTGTGTGTGTGTGTGTGTGTGTGCGCGCGCGCGCGCGCCAATACCATTCTGTCTTAATGGTTACAGCTTTGTAATATAGGACAAAGTCCAGGATTGTGATGCCTCCAGCTTTGGTTTTCTTTTTCAACATTACTTTGGCTATTCAGTTTCTTTTGTGGTTCCATACAAATTTTAGGAGTCTTTGTTCTAGCTCTTTGAAGAATGCTGGTGTTATTTTGATAGCGATCGCATTGAACACGTAGATTGCTTTGGGTAGTATCAACATTTTAACAATGTTTGTTCTTCCAATCCATGAGCATGGAGTGGTTTTCCATTTCTTTGTGACTTCCTCAATTTCTTTCATAAGCTTTCTATAGTTTTTGGCGTACAGCTCTTTTACCTCTTTGGTTAGGTTTATTCCTAGTTATTTTATGGGTTTTGGTGTAGTTGTAAGTGGGATCAATTCCTTGATATCTCTTTCTGTTGCTTCATTATTGGTATATAGAAATGCAACTGATTCCTGGGGCTCCTGGCTGGCTCAGTCGGTTAAGTGTCTGACTTTGGCTCAGGTCATGATCTCACAGTTGGTGGGTTTGAGTCCCGCGTCGGGCTTTGTGCTGATAGCTCAGAGCCTGGAGCCTGCTTCAGATTCTGTGTCTCCCTCTCTCTCTGCCCCTCCCCACTCATGTTCTGTTTCTCTCTGTCTCAATAATAAATAAACATTAAAATTTTTTAAAAAAGAAATGCAACTGATTTCTGTACATTGATTTTTATATCCTGTGACTTTGCTAAATTCATGGATCAGCTCTAGCACATTCTTGGTGGAGTATCATGCAAGACAAACTTCTGAACAAGGAAATTTGTCAGGGATAAAGAGGGCCACTATATTATAGTATAAAAGGCAAATTGTTCAGGAGGATGTAACAGCTTTTAATGTGTGTGAACCTAAATACAGAATGTCAGAATATGTGAGGGGAAAACTGCCAGAACTGCCAGAAGAAAGAGGTCAATCTACTCACTCTCAGAGTTGGGAACCTCAGCACTTGCTTTAGAAATGCACAGAAAATCACTGAAGATTTGGTTAAAATCAATAGCACTATCAATAGACTAATCCAATAGCATAACATTACACATTTGTCTCAAATTCACATGGAACTATTTTAATAGTCCACACTCAGCCACAAAACACACCATAAGAAATAAAAGAATATTAATTGTGCAGTATATGCTCTCAAGCCACATGGACTAAACTAGAAATCAGTAAATAGAAAAATGGTTGGAAACTCCCAAAGCACTTGAAGATTTAAAGTATACTTCTAAATGAGACATGAGACGAAAAAGAAATCTTCAGGAAGATTTTAAAATTATTTTCAACTAAATGAAAATGAAAACACAACTAATCAAAATGTGTGAGATGCAGTGAAAGCAGTGTTTAGAGGAAAATGTATAGCAGTGAATGCATATATTGAGAAAGATCTAATATCAGTCATTTAAACTTTCACCTTAAGAAACTAGAAAGAGAACATTAAATTCAAAGTAAGCAGAAGAAAATAAGTAATATAAATTAGAGCATAAATAATAAAATTGGAAACAGGGAATCAAAAAAAATCACTAAAAATCTTGTTTTTGAAAAGATCAATAAAATTGATAAACCTTTAGCCAAGCTAATCAAGAAAAAAGAGAACACACAAGTTACTAATACTTTGGTAATTAATTAGAAATTGAAGAATGCATATCATTTCAGACCCCATGTGTTGGAGGCCGCCTCCGACAGGTCCAGGGGTCCCTGAAGGATGGACAGTGTCAGCGAGAGAGTGAGGGAGCCCTGAGATTCTTTCTGATCACCAGGCAGGCATCTCTGTCCTGTCGGTTTTGGTGTCTTTATTTAAAGGTTCAGCAACAACATGAAGTCAGAGAAAGGAATTTATACAATGGGAGGCCTTTTGCGATAACAAGTTTTTGATATTCTGCAGAATTATTCCAGTCATAGTGAATTTATAACCAAGGAATTAACAGGATGCTCTTAGTGAAAAACAGGATAACATATAGGTTAAATTGTATATAGATAAGCTAGGAGTCATTCTGTCTGGCTCTCAAGATGATGAATGTTTCTGAATTGATTTGTTTGTGGAAACTAACATGGGGGCCCTAAATGTGTCAGTCTTTGCACCTGGGTTTATGTTTTAGTTACTCTTATCTATCCTTATCCCAGTTGCCAGTGTAAGGGAGGGTGTTTGTGGAATTTAGTCCTTGAGGAATGGACTGCTATGCTTCACCAATTAGCAAAGATATATGTAGTAACTATGTTCTGCCCTTAGCCCCAAAATAGGCTCTTTGTCTCAGGGCCAGGCTCAATTGTAATTCTTGTGTTCTTAACCCCCTAAGTCTTGGACCTGCAGGGCCCATAGGAAGAGCCTTTTGACAATCACCCACAGAGCTTTCATCTAAAGTCTCTTTTGTAAAGGCAGGAATATGCTTTTCCTTATGAGGTATCTGTGTTCAGAATTTGGGTCTGTTATGGAATATTGTGAGGCCTGGTCAATACCAGCAGGCTCACATCCAACAAGAGCCAGTAGAAGCAGAAGGAGATACCAGTTTTCATTTCTCATGGCAGGAGCTGTGCAGACACTGCCATTTCCTTGCTGTGATTGCCATCCAGAGAGGCCGGTGCGGCTCCCAGCACCCATGTACATTGCAAGGATAATCAAGGCATACTGTGCTCCATACTTGATAGCCTGGATTAAATAGACCAACTCCTTAAAAGACATAGTCTGGGGCGCCTGGGTGGCTTAGTCGGTTAAGCGTCCGACTTTCGCTTAGGTCATAATCTCGGGGTTTGTGGGTTCGAGCCCCGCGCCGGGCTCTGTGCTGACTGCCAGCTCAGAGCCTGGAGCCTGTTTAAGAGTCTGTGTCTCCCTCTCTCTCTGACCCTCCCCTGCTCACGCTGTCTCTCTCTCTCTCTCTCCAAGAAAAAAAAAAAAGACATAGTCTGTCAAAACTCCACAAGAAGAAATAGATGATATAAATAGACCTATAGCTACGACAGAAATTGGATCAATAATCTTTCAAAACAGGAAGCACCAGGCCCCAATGACTCCACTAGTGAATTTTATCACACAGTTTAAGAAGAAATTCTAATTCTGTACAATCCCTTTCAGAAGATTAAAGCGTAGGGAATACTCTCTAACTCATTTTATAGGGCAGCATACTTTTTTAAAGTTTATTTTTATTTATTTTGAGAGAAGGCAAGCAAGGGAGGGGCATAGAGAGAGAGAGCGAATCCCAAGAAGGCTTTGTGCTGTCAATGCAGAGCCTAATGTGGGGCTTGAACTCACCAACTGTGAGATCATGACCTGAGGTGAAGTCAGGAGTTGGATGCTTAACTGACTGAGCCACCCAGGTGCCCTGCCAGCACACTTCTAATACCAAAAAACAAAGGCATTACAAGAAAAGGAACTACAGATGAAATCTCTTAGGAACATAGAGGAAAAATCATAAAATATTAGCAAGCCAAATTGAGCAACCACATATAAAAAAAATAGTATACCACCATCAAATGGGATTTTTCTAGGTATGCAAGTCTGACTCAATATTTGGAAATCAGTTAATGTACCCCATCACATTAACGGGCTAAATAAGAATCACATGACTGTATCAATATATGTAGAAAAGTATTTGACAAAATATAGAAACTCTGAGTATACCTAGAGGGGAACAAACTGAACTTGATACAAGAGTATCTGCAAAAACCAACAGCTAACATTCTTAGTGGTAAGAAACTGAGACTTTTCCTATTAAGATTAGGAATAATGGGGCGCCTGGGTGGCTTAGTCGGTTAAGCGTCCGACTTTCGCTTAGGTCATGATCTCACAGTTCGTGGGTTCGAGCCCCGCGTCGGGCTCTGTGCTGACTGCCAGCTCAGAGCCTGGAGCCTGTTTCAGAGTCTGTGACTCCCTCTCTCTCTGACCCTACCCTGCTCATGCTGTCTCTCTCTCTCTCTCTCCCCTAAAAATAAATAAAAAACATTAAAAAAAAAAAAAAAAAGATTAAGAATAGTGCAGGTATGTTCTCTTTCACACTGTTCTTCAACACCACACTGGAAGGACTAGCTAATAGATTAAGAAAAGAAAAAAAGTGTATACATATAAGGAAAGAAGAAATAAGATGATCCTTTTTTCAAACATGGTATGATTGTATATGTAGAAAATCTA